CATAAGGTATGTCTGAACTAAAACCTATACGGTATTTACAAAAAAAAAAAAAATGCATGTACTCCATGGGAAAGGAGGAAATGTTGTAGCATGTGATTCATATCACATGTGCAAAAATATTGACCAAGAGGGTAATGAAAGTCAAAATCTCGACTTTAACATTCTGTGAGACCCTGAGATTATAATAATAAAATCTCATATAGTACCCTTATTACTCTATTCTATTTCTTTCAAAAAAAAAATTAATGATTGCTAACTTAGAGTGTTGCCAAAAGATTAAGACAAATTCAATTTGCTTGGACATTTTTGGAAAAGCAAATTAAATGAAAGTTGCAAGAATCGAGAAAAGAGGAAGATTACATTTTCTGGATTATCACACTATAATCATGTGTGTTGATTGGTCGATCAATTATGTTTTTTTTTTATGTAAAGACAAAACATAATTATGAATACAAAAAATGTTTATTATAAATGAGATCGTTAGAGGAAAATGTGATAAGTAATCTAGGTTATTGCATACAACATACAACCCAAGTTTCACAATTGAGAAGTTATATATTCCTAACAGATATATGACTAATATGCTCTCGATGTATGCAAGCTCACACGGCATATTTACTAAAGTATGAACCTTGACGATATTTACTAGAGAGAAATAGTCCCATCATGTGTGAGTGGGAGATATTAGATATGGGTGGGACACCCATAATGGGACCCACCCAATTACATTTAATATGTTTTGGTAACTACCAAAGGCAGAGTACCACTAAATTACAATAGTTGCCTTGAAGGCACCTGCCGCATGTATATAAGAGAGTTTTTAGTCAAGAAAACTCTCTCACTATTATTTCTCTCTTCATTCACGTTTGTTACTGAAATTAAAGAAGACGGTGGTCTATGCTTGTGATTCAACTTACGTTGACAAAAAGAGGTATTTATGCTGTGATCTTTTATGAAATGTGATTGCAATAATGATTATGTTAATATGATCTTAGGATTAAATTAGGAATCTATGTTTTTCTTAATTTACTAACAAGAGACAACTCAACTAGCTACATACAAAATTTGGTGTTAATATTCATCAAATAATTTGGGATATGGTAGGAGATGTTATATGTACATATATTATCACTATGTTTAAAGCAAAATCATTATACAACATGGTATCAACATGAAGAGCTTAACAAGTGTAACGTTGCACCCTTATTGAAAGAACATACTTCGATCTTACATTTGTTCTTTAATCTCTGTTTTTGCCTTATGGCTGGATTTATTTATTATTTTTAAATTTCACCTTTATGGTCAAACCTACTTATTATTGTTAAATTCCAACTTTATGGTCGGATCTACGTATTATTGTTAAATTCTGCCCTTATGGTCGGATTTACTTATTATTGTTAAATTCTGCCTATATGGTCGGATCTATTTATTATTGTTAAACTCTGCCTCTATGGTCAAATATATTTATCATTATTAAAATACCACCTTCATGGTTGGACCTATTTACTATTGTTAATTACCGCCTTCATGGACGGATCCATTTATAATTGTCATTGTAATTTGTTAGTTTTGGAAGCGTGAATGCATCCCATGACATGCATCTAGAAGATCCAGAACTAATTACATTACTCTTATAAATGAATAGTTCTTGGAAATGTCGAACCTTGTGAAGCTCCAATATGAGGCCTTGAGACTAGATGGGAATAACTATGATGAATGGGCCCTAGACACTACTCTCCATTTGGAATCTATGAAACCGGGGGAAGTGATTAAGAAAAGAAACATGGCGTCCCTACAAGATAAATCAAAGGCTACTATCTTCCTTTTGTTAGGGTAGGTGCTCTAGAGCCAATCAAATTGTAGTTATTAACTACTTGTAAAACATGTTAATATTAATAAAAGGAATCTCTATGTTATGTAAGTCGTATTTGGCATATGTTATAATATATGTCCTTAGAATGGTAGAACCGTGACGAAGGAATCAAGCAATGATAAGTCTTGATTGTGAGATCCCTATGAACACATTTGGTGGCCATTCTAGAAATATCCATAGCTGTAATACCCAAAATGTCAAAGGTATGTTCCTAACTCAAAATAGTCCTTTAGATGTTAATTTTATGTTAAAAAGCATAAAATCTAACTAAGGGCAAAATAGTCAATTCATTTGGAACGGTATGAATCAATTATTCATAGAAACGTATTAAGGGCAAAATAGTCATTTTGCCTATGGATAAGCATTGAAAAAGTCAAGGATGAGTAGGCTCAATTGCATTTAATGGCATTAATTAAGTAATAATTATGTCTAGTGTGAAATGACCAAAATGCCCTTATATGAAGAATTAAGGACATATGAGTTATACAACTAAAATAATTGGGCCAATAGCATAATTTTGGAAAATGAATGAAATATTTTCCTATAAATGAGATGAATTTCGTTCAAGCTAAGGGAAAGAGCATTTCTTCAACATTTCTTCCATTTTCTCTCAAATCTTCCATGAAACAAGCTTTCTTTCTCTAAGTTTTAAAGGAGTTTTGCTTATTTTTTCAAGGAGAGCAAGATAGGAGCCTTGGATATTCAATTTGAAGGGTTTAAGGTAAGGATTAAAAACTTTAGTTTTGATGTGATTTGAAGATTTGAAGTAGATGTTGAGGTATAATGTTTTATATGTAGGATTAAGGTGTAAAAGAAGACAAAGGCAAAGGATTTGTTGGAAGAATTCTTTAAAAAGGTAAGGAAGAACCTCCCATGACTTTAGGCTTTATACTAGGGTTTGTGGATTTTTATGAAACCTTAAATTAAAGCTTTAAGGCATAGAATTAGTTGATGGCAAGTGTAGTTGAACTCATTTATTCTACTTATTGCCTTGAATTCATTATACATGAAGTTATTGCTATTTATGTTTTATGAGTTGTGATGTTTGATTGAAGAAAATGAAGTGTGAATGCTGATTGTGGCAAAACTTGTAGTATTGGAGGCCACATAGTGTTGAATGGTTGCTATTAGAAGTGTGGAGGTGTTGTTTGCATTAGCTTACAATGTTATAGCAATAATGGATGATTATGGGAATGAGATTTTACACTTCCTTTAAGATGTTAAAGACTATTAAGGGGAGGTTTATTTGATCCATAAGTTTACCTATTGGTTAATATCAATAGGAATTGATGTGGCATAGTTAATATGAAAATTCGGATTTAGCAAGCTTAGGGGTTTTGTTAACCCTGCTTCCGTATTTTGACCATAACTTGAGTTATAAAAATCTAAATGAGATTATTCTTGAAGCATTAGAAAGATAAGACACAGACCTATAACTTTTATTTTTATGCCAAGAGCCAATTCGTTTGATAAATGGATGGAAAATGGCCTGAAGTGTAAACTAGTTATTAAAGTTTAAGATTTAACATGATCAATTTTATGATTATGAATTGATTATTAATGTATTATTGTAATTGTACCATGTACTAATGGTTACCCATTAGTTAGATGATCTTTGAAAGATATACATGGTCATGATGTCAATGCATGATTAATGTTATGAAATGGCATAAAGATGCAATGTAATACATGTTTTAAGATGATGTAGGTGAGCAAGAGGTAATGTAAATGGATTGATAATTCATAGATGAATTAAAAGTATTAAGCTCACCAAAATATGTATTTACATGCCATAAGATGTTAGAGATGCATATAGACATGATGGGAAACACATAAGCATATCCTTGTATGCCGGTTGAGGAAAGATGAATATATGCTTTAGATGTTAAATAACGCGTAAGCACCCCTCTTGATGATATGAGCTCTAAATGAATTTGAGGCTAGATGATATGAAGTGCTTAAGACGCTAAGAAAAGTCCGATCGGCTACACGTTAAATGCTTCATATGCATTTAGTCGCACTACATGAGTTATGATGTTATTTACATCATGAGATGATTTATACTCATGTTAGATGATATTTAGATGTTATATCATGACATGTAATCTGCGTGTACTATGTTTACATACTTATTTGTATGAGTATGCATGGATGTTTGTATAGCAAATTTAGAATGAAACGGATCATTCCTTACTAAGCGACTAGCGCTCACCCTTTCATTGTTGATTGCTTTGCAGGTAGACCAGCAGCGAAGGATGCTAGAGATAGCTGGGCTACACGTGAGGGGAGATGATTTATTGTCATCTTCATGTTTTTATGTTGGTGTAAATATGTTTTGATTGTGTAATTTTCGGATAAATTCTTAAAGTTTCTAAATTATAAGTTTGGATCCTGCGTGACTTTTTATATGCATGTTTTGGATATTACTATTATTATTCTTACACAGATATTTTTTTTTTCTAAATACAACTTATTCTTCAGACATGTATCCTCAGGATTCTCATTGAGAGATATTCAGAGGATACCTGACTGGAGGGGGGTTTTACAGTAGCCCCAATGTTATCCTGAATTAAGGGCACAGACAATATGGTAAGGCTATCATCACGCTGAATGACCTTATCGAAAGATATTAACTGATCTTGCATGTTAAAGTTGTTTGGTGACAACTTAGTGCAACTCATGGGTGTCTACGGTTGGCAAGTTCACTAAATCGAATCCCTTTAGAGGATTCCATATAGATGTTAACCCCAATGTCTATGGAATACATCCTCTAATGGATGGTGGTGCATATGATCCTAAGAATTGAGATCACCAGAGTGTCGTGTGTAATTATTGGTGTAGTTTGATGCTAACCTAACTTAGTCCTATTTAGGGCCATTAGAATGGAAGTGATTGGATACATTGAGAAGTACATCATCGCTATGGTGGGTCGACACAAGATTCATCACTCTTGGTTACAGGAGAAATTATCTCACTGAGTAATGGGGTAAATGACAACGATTGTAAAATTGCGGCAATAGTGGAATTGAGTTGGTGCTCAATTTCAATTTTATCAAGTCATTAGTTTGGATTATTGATTACGTACAGATCAAGGTAGTATATTTGAAGTTGACATTATTTCTGTACTTCAAACCTTGATGAGATAGTAATTGATGAAAAGATTCGAATGCACGGTAACCGTACCATTCATTTGGTCCACCATTTCAGAGATGCCATCATCATTTCTTTTTCTTTTGTTGCTACTAGATGTCCTACGAGTTCCACTAGCTCCAGAGGCAGCCACATCATCCTTGTCTAGAACGTTACTCCCTTTATCATCATCAACATCAACATCCATTGATTCATTGTTGTTTTCGGGAATTTCTGAATCAAGATCTTCAACCGCATCAGCTGGGTTCTTTGCTCTAGCTCCACTTGCTCGGTCCCTACCGAAAACAATTGCTAATGTGTCATAGTGGGGGAAAGGTTTGTTCCTTAATCCTTGTGTAGTTGGATGGCTCTGTCAAAGAAAAAATGATAGATGACATTTAAAATTAATATACAAATAAAATTTACTGATGCATTCAAGATAGAAAAAACCTTACCTTCACCCACTCCTCAAACACATCATTGCTTGCAATTATGCATTTATCTTCATCATTCCACCCAAAGCCACTGCCGTGATTTAACATATCTAAAATGGCAGCATACTGCCTTTTCTATAGCTTGTATCGTGATTCAATAGGTGGTGTTGCCTTCAACCCAGAAGATGGAATTCTTTCTGCCATCATCTTTTCTAGTTGGACAAGAAACCCAGTTTTGAAAGTACCATTGTCAGCAGCCCAATGATGACATTCCCTCAAAGTAAGCAGATAATTAGCTAAAATGGCATCCTCCTCTTTTGTCCATTGTCTTTTCCTTCCAGTTCCACTGGCTTTTTTCTTCCCTTTATTACTGTTGCTTGGGTCATACATTGCCAAAGGCATATCCTGACTTCCACTAGCTGTTGCCAACTTGTCCATTGTTGAATGAACTATTAAGAAAAAGAAATTAAACATTTATTAGGCAAATAATTAAATCTTGAATCATACTACCCCTTACTAAATAATAAAAATTAGGAATATTTTTATACAGTAGAAGATCCATAAACGAAAAATATATAATCCAAGACAAATAGATGTCAATAATATAGAGTCACAATTTGGTCCAACTGGAAAATCTTCCCAAGTCTAAAATAGTCCACCCAATGCAATTTTGAATATGAAGAAAAAATTATTATTCACCTGCAAATATCACTCACACCAGCAACAACCCAGAACCACTTCCACAACCACACACACAGAGTCAAATAGCACAGAACTCCAAAACACCCCAGATTAATCCAAGAACAAGCAAATACTGAATCATATCAATTCATATATAAACAGAACTACAATAGTACACCAAGTCGGTTCTAGCAACAGCCATAGACCAACAGTAGAAGAAAACAACAGCTACAATAAGAACAAAATGGCAAAAACTAGTAGAATATATTTATACAATATAAGATTCAAAAGCAAAAAACATATAATCCAAGACAAATAATTTACATTCAAACTATTGTCAGCCAAAGAAATAACACCCTAAACTAATTACAATAGCCTAGATTGTTGCCAACTTTCAAACATCTTGTGTGCTAGATTATCCCTCCATGCAGTCCATGCATCACTTGGCTCCACATGGCTTATAAATTCAGGTTCGGGATCAGCTTCCGGTGGGGTATTGTTCATCTCACCAACCTCACTTTCCATAGGGTCAATGGCCATCTTAGACCTAATGTAGTTATGTAACAGGCAACAAGCGGATATTATTCTGCACTGCATTTTGATAGGGTAGAAAGATTTCTCACTTAGAATCTTCCAACGGGCTTTTAAGAGGTCGAAACATCTCTCAATGCAATTTCTTGCTCGGGAGTGTTTCATATTGAAAAATTCTTGAGGTGTCGTTGGTTGGTAACCATCTCTCCACTCATTCAAATGGTATCTTTGCCCTCTATAAGTTGCTAAAAACCCATTCCCATTGGTGTAACCCACATCACATAAATAGTAAAAACCTAACATGATAATAAAAATGTCAATTACAGATACTCATCTAATCATTCACTGTTACTGTAATGAACTTGGAAAATTGTATAGAAACTATACCTTAAGGGACCTTTAATCCATTTCTCCTACTAATTGCATCTCTAAGGACTCTACCATCAGTAGTTGAACCTTCCCACCCGTGGAGAATATAAATGAATTGCATTTTTGGTGTGCAAACAGCAAGAACATTCGTCGCAATTTCATTTTTCCGAGTGCGATACCTAGGTTTATCATGGGCAGGAACTTGAACCTTAATATGTGTTCCATCTAATGCACCCAAACAATTCTACCAAAAGGATAACACAAATTTAATAAATTAGTGTTGTACTAAAAAGGAACTTACATAAAAACTGCCATAATATACTGTTTAGGTTCTTCATTATGTACCTTAAACCATTTCCAGCATTCATCAGTTGAGTCCTCCGTGATAGGCTCAGGTTCTTTCAGTAAAATTGTATGCATTCTTAAAACAACGTTCAACACTGCATGAAAATTTATACTAACTGTCTCACATGACCTAGCTAGCTGGCGGTTTAAGACTCTGTTCTTGATATGGTGTGCACAAATGTGAAGAAAACTACACACCATTTCCTCTACAGATGTATTTCTATTTGATTTAACCCCCCTTCACGTTGAAGTAACGCACATAATTTTTCAAAAGTTGTTATATTCATTCTACAGTTCACTGCACATTGGTTATCATCTTGAAAAAACATTTTCCGTAAATTGAGAGTCCTAATGGTATGGTTACTGCAAAAGTTACCTGTATATGATATGCCACGTCTATGTCTATTCCTATTCTTCAACAGCAAGGCAATCATTGTAAAAACTAGTATGACGTTTAGGGTGTCCATCATATGAAAATACATCATCATAACTGACACCAAATGCTTCTGCCTTTTAGTTAAATGAGTCATTACTGTCCATAGAGGAACATTGGATTATTGTCATATATGAGGGAAGAGGACATAACATAATATTTGAGGGAAGAGGACATAACATACATAAATTTCAAACAACTCCAACATCCTGAAACTAGATTTCAATTCAACACCAAAACATTAGGCTTAAAACTGATAGAATACTAGAACAACATATGATGTAACGATTACTTGTTATCAAGCCAACTTTGTAAAAAATAAGAGAAACAAATCTGCGCTTTTACCATGTTCAAAGTAGTACAAACATGCATTTAATTTGAGAAGCAAAATGCAGGTGCAGTAGTGGGTTCAAAAGAAAAAAATTATACCTATTCAAAATGATGGCCAGGAATCCGAATATTCAGAGCAGGAACAAATGAAAGCCTGATGTTCTCTTTCTTCAAACAAGAGTGTTGAAAAACAGCTGCAACAAACCAAAACCTTATTACTTACAATGGGTTTGCACAAAGAAAGAGACAAGGAACTGAAATTTTAGCTGGAAAATTAATTACAATGTTGAAGTAGATATCCTGTTCATTAGATAGACAAGAATACAAAATTTGGTGATCCTTGATTGAAATTGTGTAACTTCCTAGATGTCAAATCAAATTAATGTTCATGTAACACTCAATCCAATATCACATAGTAACAAGTTCTCAAATCAATTACTTAATCTGAACAATCTGAATACAAAAAAACCGAATTACAACTATAATAATTCCATGAAGAAATGCTTTTATACTATCCATAAACCACAAAGAACAACCAATACAAACAGTCTATTCTACAGATACAGTAACAAAATGGCTCAAAACTCATAGACATTAGTAATTTAAATTACTTTGGTATTGAAACAAACAGTCATTTCTACATTTACCATAAGTAAAGTACTCAAAGCTCATATACGTTAGTAACTTATATCACTCCTTCGACTTCATTTTCTCAAACAATTCAGTCCACTACCTTCAAATCATCCATACACCACAAAAAACAACTGAAAAAAATAGCGATTCAAACATCATACACATCTCTAACAACCTTACACTTTATTTTCTCTACATTTTAACATCAACTACTTTCCAATCATCCATAAACCATACACAACTATCAAAACAAACAGCCAATTCTACATATACCAAAACAAAACTGGTAACGCATCATACACATTAGTAATCTAATTAACTCGGCAAACCTTGGAAATCATTTTCTCCACAATTCCACATACACCACCTGCACATCATCCAGAAACCACAAAGAAACATCAAAACAAATATCTAACTCTACACATAACATATCAAAACTGTTCAAACCTCATATACATTTATAATTCAAATCACTATACCAGCTTTTATAGTTCATTTCCTCTACATTTTCACAGCGACTACCTTCTCATCTAATCCAAACTCCCTGCTATAGCTGGGTTTGATTTTTTTTTTTTTTTTTGGGGGGGGGGGGGGGGGGGGTCTATAATTGTACCTAAACCTTGTGCATAATTTTTAGGATTAGGTGGATAATATATATATATATATATATAATTTTTTTCAACGAAACAAAACATTCAAGCCTCCCGTATCTTGCACGAATTGCGCATAAAGATAAATGAAGTGTTGATTATTCACTGGCTTCTACGTGGGTGAATACAGTACATTCATCAATGTCTTATTAAGTGCAACCATTTATTTTAAGGCTGTTCCAGCACATTACGTTAAACCACCAGATTATGACCAAACATTCACGAACTGCGAAACAAGTCTTCACTTTTGACCTACCCCGTCAGCCTTTTCAAGCTACACCGACAAAATATATCCTTTATATATATTACTATGCACGCCAATCTTCCTCATACACAAACTCAAATTAAATTAGTCAGCCCAAAGGCAGTGGACACTTAGGAAAACTGGATGATTACCTCGATTCGGCGGGAGAAGACGGCACAGATTCAAGGAACACTCGACGATTTGCTGGAAGTGAAGATGAGAAATTCGCAGTAGAGACACTTCACTTGATTTGAACATGAAAGGAAGCTAAAGTTAAATGCAAATGGGTTTGTGTTCAACTGTGGAAAAAGTGGGTAATTAATTTGGTAGATGATGAGTAAAGGAGTTAGGTTTTCACGCAATAATGAATTGGGAATTTTTAATTTTGTTGAAGTTGGAGAGTATAAACGGGTTTAAATTTTTGTGTGTAAGGTTAAAAATGTCCATAACTTTTTTGTAAATTGTTTAAATAACAAGGGTATTATTGTCCTATAATTTTATTAATAAGGGATAGAATTGTAACAAAAAAAGATTACCCTGGTAATCTTATAATACCTAAGAAAATGAAGGTAATCAGATTACCTACTATATTACCAATAGTAACTACTATTGGTATTTGAGGATTACCGGAATCTTATATTACTTTGACAACCAAACGTGATAATCAAGTAATATAAGATGACATTACCCCAGTAATCCCACATAACCCCTAACCAAATGCCCCCTAAAGGTTGTTAGGGCTCGGCTTGGTAAAAGATTGAACTCGATCAGCTGAACTACAGTGTCCAGTCGAGTTCGAACACGACAGTACTCGGCTCGATAAGCATCACGAGCTTTAGCGAGCTTGAAGGGTATATGTGATAGGTTTGAAACTAATAGGGGGCGATATGTA